CCGCTGAACTGCAGATCACAGTCAGCTAAAGTGGCTTGCACTACTGCAAGTGGTCCCTCCATATTTTAAAGGAACTGGGAGAGCATTCGATACCTGAAAGATCCGTTCTTCCAAATCCATATAACTTCACCTGGTGCTTGCCAACCACAAAGTTTACACGGATGTGATTTTTGTTGTTCTATCCCAGGGGTCGTCGGCAACCTTAAACACTCAAAGAGCCACAAAGGTCCTAACCGGAAGCCCCCCCCCCAATTCAATTCTGGAGCAGATTGAAAGTTCATTTCCCCCATCATAGAGTCTCCTCCTAGTGTGGCATCCTTTTTCCTCCACCTGTCCTAACCGAAAGCCCTATCAATTGTGGACCAACTGGCAACAAGGAGCCGCATCAGAGGGATGAAAGAGCCACATGCGGCTCCGGAGCAGACCTCTGTTCTATCCAAACGAGACCATTGGAAAAACTCCGGAAGTAAATAATGACCAGGAACTGCTTTTATTTCGGGAGGGTTAAGTTTTTATTGAAAATCGACAACATTAGAAAGGTATTAAGTTCAACAGTGCTGGTTCGCTCACGTGGATCATGTAAATATATATATATATTGAGTGCAGCTGTCCAATCACAACTGTTCATAACAAAAGGTCTTCTAAAAAAAAAAAAAAGGAGAAACGAATACTTGGGAACCAGGCCATGCAGTGAATGGTTCCAAACACAATCCCAAAAGTTCTGACTTAGGTACATTTTTAAGGGCAGTTACACGTGACTTGTAATGATAACTTTGGAAAAAACAAGAGAGGATGCGTTTACAATTTATTTTCCTTCACCACCTTAATATAGAAGCCTCTGTTTTTCCTTCTTTTGCAAAGGTTTAAAGGGGTTAGAACTTGGGGGATTAATTCTACAACGATAATACTACTTAGGTCTTTATATATATATATATATCTCGCTCTCTTTCTTTCTCCCTCAAATGCTTAAGGCTCTTTTGTGCATTTTAAGAACTCTGGCAAAGACAGCAGACATGAATCATTTCTACCGGAAGCTGGATCCAGGAGGAGAGATTTAAACCATGAACTTTCCATCTCAGTGCAAGATGCTGAACAGAAACAAATTTAGTGAATTCATTTATTTCAATTGGGAAAGGTTCGTTACTTCTTAAAAACTGAAATGGCAGGTTATCTTAAGGCCGCTTCTCCCCAATGAAAAATAGAATTTCTCTAAAGTCCCCGACCGTCCTTTTTAATCAGCGTTCAAAGTAAATCTTCCTCAGAGGTAGCAAAGTCATTATTATTTTTTTCTGTGTGTTGTTCGTTGCATATTATTTTTTTAATCCACACCAACCCATGAAGGAACAGGACAATTTTTTCCCCTCCTCTACTCAAAAATAAAATAAAAATAGCAACCCACAATCATGACATTGAGGCAAAACTAGGAAGGGAAGAAAAATAACCATAATCCACAATAAGTCCTGTCTCTGTGTGAAGTAGCCTCCTCATTAATTGGACTGCAATATTTTTTGGGGGGGGCTGTAGAAAACGTCTTGCCTCTCCCATTGTTTTTCCACCTTGTTTCGCAAAGCCCGAGATACCTCAGCTTAAAAATAAAAATAAAAGAGAATCCCAAACACCCCCACGCACATATGGAAAAATAGGAGTGGAAGGAAACGAACCCAAATCTCTCTCTCTCTCTTTTTTCTTCCCCAGGTTAAATTTCTTTTTATTTATTCTTGTCTCCCCCTCTCCCTTCCCAAGCAGGACGGGGGTATCCCTATGTTCGCTCAAGTAGACGTCTTCTCAAGAGAAATGCAGCAGGCGGAGACAAGTTAGAAAAAGCTACAGAGGGGAAAAGAGAAGAGAGAAAGAAAGTTTTTGTCAGTCCAACGGCAGAGAGATACAAGAGGCAATGAAAGGCAAAGCAAAATAACCGAGGAACACAATCAAATGGAAAGGGAAAAAACACAGAGCAGTAAATCTATGTCTTCCCTGCCCTGTTAGGAAATTCAAGCAGAAAAATACCATCAAAAGAGGACGCCCACATTAAATATCAGGTGGTCCTTGTTTAGTGACCAAAATTAGTTGTTAAATGAAGCGGGGGTAAGTGAAACCGTGATGAGGCTTCCGATCAGATTTCCTTTGCTCTGCAGAGCTGTGAAAGTCGTAAATGCGAGGATGGGTTGCAAAGGGATTTTCCACGGCACCGTTTGTCACGGCGGTTGCTAAATGAGTCAGGCGCTAAAGGAGGACTACCTGGTACAGTGCGCATTTTAGAAGAGTGCAGGCGTCTTGGGGCAGAAGGAAACACAGGAAGGCACAATACAAACACACACATACACACAAACATATATATATATTTCAAGTCAATGCAAACATTCAGGAGAAAAGCGAGGCAGAATTACAGAGCAAGCTGAAAGAGTTCTCTGTGGTTGAAAACCAAACGCTTGAAATTCCGGGATATTTTGCCCCTCGGGAATGGAAGCTTCACCCTAGTTCTGCGGGAAAAGGATTCAAATTGGGCTCTCCCCCCAGATATTCTAAAATATCTGCTTGTATTCTGTGCTTTTTGGAAAAGGTAAAAATTAAGGTTTCCCTTGTACATATAGACATTCCCGATTCTACGGGGCAATGCTCATCTCCGTTTCAAAGCCGAAGAGCCAGCGCTGTCCCAAAACATCTCGATGGTCATGTGGCCGGCATGACTAAATGCCAAAGGCGCATGGAGCGCTATTCCCTTCCCACCAAAGGTGGTTCCTATTTTTCTACTTGCATTTTTATGTCCTTTCGAACTGCTAGGTTGGCAGAAGCCGGGACAAGTAATGGGAGCTCACTCCGTTATGCAGCATTAGGGATTCAAACTGCTGACCTTTCTGATCGACAAGCTCAGCGTCTTAGCTCCTGAGCCACTGCGTCCCTACATTTTGATGATGGGCCTATGTTAATAGCATATTCATCATCCCATTCCCTGCCGATGGGCATTTGAAAATACAACATCATCCTTCAATTTACTAGCAAGACATTTGCTGATGAGTAAATCTGGTGAATTCGTTTGCAAGGCAACCTAGAGTGGGCATCTCAAAAAATCCCACAGGGCACAAGAAAAGCTGTAATATCGGTCTTTTACATCAGGCGCGCCCCACGATACAGCCGAAACAGCAGATAAAAATAACAACACAGGTAGTCCTCGACTTACGACAATTCAGCCCAAGCTTTCCGTTGTTAAGTGAGACATTTGTTCAGTGAGTTTTGCCCCCTCCCCATGTTACGACCTTAAGGGCCACAGTTGCTCAATGAATCCCTGCATCTGATAAATTAATAAGCCATTGAAGTGAAATTGGCTTTTCCCCTCGACATTGCTCGTCAGAAGGTCATAAGTATGAATCAGTGGCCAAGCCGTTTGAATTTTGATCACACAATTACGGGGGAGGCTGCGAAGGTAACGGTGAAAAATGGCCATCAATCCCAATTTTTCAATGCCCTCGTAACTTTGAACTAAATGAAGTGTTGTAAGTTGAGGATTTCCTGTAAACACTTTGCGTAGTAGAGTATAAAATGGCATTCTGGAAGGCCCATGAGATGACCAAGGCTGAACGCAATAAATAAGTGAAGATCGACATCCCAGATCAGTATATTGAAGGGGGGCACTACTCAGTACATAGCCAGGGATTACTGTAAAAGAAGGGTAACAACAACAAAAGAAAGAAAAAAAAAGAATAAAAACAAAGCATTAACCAGAATTGTTTCCACGTTTATTTTTCTTTCTTTTTTTAAAAAAAATAAAGCTTCCCATCAGAGATAAGGACAAAGACCTTCCCCCCCCCCCCCATGGAAATAACGGAGGAGGGGACTGTGTTCATTCAGAACGATTTCAGTACAATGAGTTTACGTCAAGCTTTCAGATTTGAACGGTTTCCAAGGATGTTGAAAATGTGAACGGCGATGGGGCTGAGAAAGATACCCTAGCGTCAACTATCCATCAAGTTGGTGTTGTTTGGCTTAGGAATGGCTAGTTTTAGATAGGGGGCATTATATGTAGAGTAATGGTCTGCCAACGTAGCAATTGTAAGACTTGTGGACTTCAACTCCCAGAATTCCCCAGCCAGCCATGCTTGTGGACTTCATGCTGGCTGGGGAATTCTGGGAGTTGAAATCCATAAGTCTTAGGTAAAGGATCCCCTCGCACATATGTGCTAGTCGTTCCCGACTCTAGGGGACGGTGCTCATCTCCGTTTCAAAGCCGAAGAGCCAGCACTGTCCGAGGATGTTTCCGGGGTCATGTGGCTGGCATGACTAAATGCCGAAGGCGCATAGAACGCTGTTACTTTCCCACTAAAGGTGGTTCCTATTTTTCTACTTGCATTTTTTAACGGGCTTTCGAACTGCTAGGTTGGCAGAAGCTGGGACAAGTCACGGGTGCTCACTCCGTTACGCGGCGCCAGGGACTCGAACTGCCGAGCTGCCGACCTTTCTGATCGACAAGGTCAGCGTCTTAGCCACTGAGCCGCTGCATCCCTAACTATAGACTCTAACCAGATGTAACTCAATGGCAAAATTCTTGTTTATACGTTGAAGGTCCAAGGCTCAACATTCAGGATGGGAAAAGCTAAAAACGACTCTTGTTACATCTTCAAATTCCTATTGTTGCACTTATTTTGTTGTGTTTGCAACAGTCAAGATGCAGAGAAAATCAACAATCGGATGAACAAAGCCTTCCTTAAAAATATCCTAAAAAGCTGTTCCAAAAAAAGTAAAGAGAAAAATGAACCTTTTGTCCCTCCGTCCCTCCCTCTCTGAGAGAGAAAAAAAACTCAACTCTTAACCAGACATGCAGCTTGCACACAAACACACACCCACATATGCACAATCTGTGGCTTACTGAAATGCTGATGCTAAACATTTTGGGGACATCCATCCTGACGGAAACTGCCGGTCAACAGGATAAAAACAGAAGGGCCTTTGGAGCTTAGCTCATCAAATCCAAGAAAGAATTGCCAAAAAAAATCTTTGCCAAAACAGTCAAGAGAATACAGCCTCTTTTTTTTGCATTCAGGAAAACAGAACAAAACAAAACAAAATTTAAAAAATTGCAGAAAAGGGGAAGGAAATGCATTAGAAAGAAAAGGAAGAGGGATGAAATGCGTATTAATTCAAAATGTGGATTATTATTTTTTTCCCTGGAGAAAGGTCTGCAGGAAGCTTGAACTGAAAACAAACCACAACGGAAAAGGATTAATGTTTCTCTTAATTAATTGAAGCTAAATAAAAATTGGCACCAGAGATGGGCAACATAATTTTGAATTCAGTGTCACGCCGAGAGATACTGTATGAAACGCAAAGATCATAATGACATTCAAAGGTGTGTGTTTTATGGCAGATGCTGTTTGATTGAAAATAAACACACAGTATTTATCAACTGCGATCTTCCTATCCTGGAACAAAATATAAATAGTTGGTTTTTAAAAAAACCTGACTTTAAGGCTTAACAAACACTCTTAACTGAGGAATAAAATGACCACAATGAATTAGAAGCAACATTTATCTGTCTTTTAAACTTCTTTAACCCTTAAGCTTATAAACCACCTAGCAATTTCAAAATAGGGGATGCTTCCAACTTAAATTCTTGTAACACTGGCAAAGAAACGCAGACAAGCGTCAA